CCCCAAAACCCCAAAACCCCAAAACCCCAAAACCCCGGGTGGAGTTGGGCCAGTTGAAAAATTAATAATTACTATTCACCAGAGAGCGTCAGAAATAAGCATAATACGGTTATTAAGACCGGAAGAAAATTTGGCCATGAGAGTTTATGGATGCAATGCTATCGTGAAAATTTAATTATCGATCCTGAATCGGAACCTTTTATTCCTTTACTTCTTATTGACAGGTTTAAGCTTGGCTTAGAGTTAACAGTTTTAGTCGTTTTTTTTAATTATTCTCCAGGAAATAAGAAATTGGAGATAATTATATTTTCAAATTATTAACATTTATTAGTATTTAGTGAGCAAAGTTTTGAATAGCTTATCTCCGTGCTCTACTAGCGCAGGCATTGTTTTACCCTCTGAAGTCTTGGTAATATCCCTAAATTAGTATTATTACCATTAAATTTTGGGAGGAAAAAGAGGGCTTACATTGAAGTTTCCTCAAAAGATTCTTCTCAGTTAAGTTCTAATCTGACACCAGTATCAGAATAATTCAGATAATCAAATTTGGAGAGAATTTCATTGAATAATATGGCTGCTTTTTCAGGCAAGTAATCAGTGCATTTCCTTCCCAAATATTTCTCCAACATTTTTACTTCCAATTTTTGAGTCAGATCTATTCCGAAATGGGCAAGAACTGATTCTAAGTGAAGCTTAGGCAGGTCATCTTCCAGGTTGAGCATAATCGCAAGGAAGTTTGAATATGAGATATACCTGTCGATCGGCATACTTTCAGTATTTGTTGAACAGCCTCCTGTTGAGCTAGGAGTTTTTACAAATTCATCTCTGTCTCAGTATCTCTGAATGAGTTTCTTGACGCTGGCTTTGCCAGCCCAGCTTGAATAAACTGAATAGTATACTCTGTTCCATTCAGCAATTGTTTTCGAGTCAATCATGTTATAGCAAAGAGAGAGAATCTCTCTGTTGAAGATTTGAGGACGAATGCTTTGAGTCAATTTTTCTAATAGCTTTTTATCAAATTTCAGGATTTCATTGGTTGAATCAACCAACCAGTCATGCTTTAGTGCATCTTTTATTTTAACCCTTCTTAAGGGATCTTTTACTAAAAGTTGCTCAATAAATTTTATTGAATCTTGGCTAAGATCTTTACACTGGTCAGCTCAAAATTTTAGAGGGTTTCTCAGGATCTTTTGATTTATTTTTCCAAGTCTTTGTTCTGAAAAGGGGAGGGACCCAGTCAGCATTTTGTATGTAATGATTCCAATACTCCATACATCTGCTTCCTTGTTATACTTTCCTCCTATTACTTCAGGGGCTACATAATTTGATTGTCCGACAGAGATATCCAAGTCTTGTGACTCAGAGAAGTACGTTGATGATCCAAACCCTACAATTTTAATCTGGAGTGTTTCGGGATTAACCAGAATATTATTTGGGTTCAAGTCTCTATGCATTATATTTTTAAGATGGCAATATCCCACTGCCTTTAGGAGTTGTCTGACGATCACCTTTGCATCAATCTCTGACAGTTGGTTACTATCTTTTATAAAATCGGAGAGTTTTCTCTCTTTCACTAAGTCTCATACTACAAAAAATGATTGGTTGTTCTTAAATATTTCATGAATTTTTAGCATATTTGGGTGATCCAGATTTACAAGGGCTGAAATCTCTCGGGCAATAGAACCAAGCCTTGAGCGTGACCCTGTGAGCTTATACACCTTTATAGCTACTTTGAACATTGGGTTTGCTATAGGATAAATATAAGACCTTTGTCCACTTTGTTATACACTGAAAATATTCGTAAAATTTTTGGAGATAAGTCAATTTTCACAGATTTTCTTACCTAAGCTTCAGCCTTCCTTGATGATTCAGCCAGATCGGCTTCCAATGACGTGGCCAATCTGATAATATTTCTTGATAGATTCAGTGTTTAGGGTAATTGAGGAGAGGTCGCTTATGCTTTTGTTAATGACATGAAGGCTGTCTTCTCAAAAATTCTTGTCTCTTTTGTATGGCCTAAATATTTCGTATTTTTCATCCTCTGACGAAGACCTTGGTCGGCAGAAACTCATCTTTGAGCAAACCTTGTGACTGAAGCTGGAGGACTCTATGAAGGTGAGGAAAGGTGTTATTACTGGTATTTTTGGTAGAGGATAGGTGAGCAGCTAAGAAACTTCCCATACTTGATTCGTCGCTGCTCTAGATTGATTTTAGAAGGGATAGAGCTATTATTACCTTGGTTTTAGTTGGTCTTGTACTACAGAAACAACTTTTTGATCCCATTGTTACTATTGATGAATTTGATTAAGTTTAATACCTTTTCAATATTCAGAACCAATTGGGGTTTTGGGGTTTTGGGGTTTTGGGGTTTTGGGGTTTTGGGG